CCATACCATACACACCAACAAAGTCAGATGAAAACAACCAGTGTAGAATAAGCCTCCGCATCAGTAGGCCTCAACATATACAAGGAAAAAACCAAGATCCTCAAATACAACACAGAGAACACCAACCCAATCACAATCGACGCAGAAACTCTGGAAGAGGTGAATTCTTTCACCTACCTGGATAGCATCATCGATAAACAAGGAGGATAAGATGCAAACGTAAAGGCGAAGATTTATACACCAAGGACCGCGTTCCTACAATTCAACAACATATGGAAATCAAAACAACTGTCAACTAAAATCAAAGTCAGACACTTCAATACGAACGTCAAGAATGTTAGTTCTACTGTATGAAGCAGAATCTTCCAGAACTACCACAATCATCATCGAAATAATACAAGTACTTATAAACAATTTTCTACACAAGATACTCAAAATCTATTGACCGGATACCATTAACAACAGCCTTCTGTGGGAGAGAACAAATCAGCTCCAACATGAACAGGAAATTAGGAAAACAAGTTGCAAGTGGATATGAGATTAGAAGGATGAATAGAAAGAAATTGGTCAGGACAAAGTTGGATGGAGAATGCTGGTGGTCAACCTATGCTCCTACATCAGGGGTAACATGCATGAGTGAGGCAGTAAGTATAGTAAAATCATAACCTATTCTCGTTTACAATATTCTTCACTTTTCAACTCACAAAATCACACTACAATCTTCACCTTTCTATTATTTCTTCTACATACTCTATCCTTTCACCTGTTGTATCCACTCGTATCTACTAGACTCCAGAAAATTCCATTTGTATGAACTCTAATAAATAAACTTGTTTATCATTTATTAGTATACTTCAATAAGATTGTAACAATGTTTAAAATGAATGAGAATATTTTTGTTTTGGGAATATTTGACTTTTCTTAATTAGTTGAATTAATGAGTGAATCTGAGTTCGTCCACCACTGAAAACCTGGGAGCACTGGATGGCCGTATGGTCCTGATTTGAGACCACTCAGTAGTGAGCATCCACGATTCCGCACGCGGGACTAGAATCCATGATTTTCGATCTCATTCTTATTAGTCGAATTGTAAGAATTTGACTTTTCGTAGTAATTCAGAGTATGTTCATTTATATATACTAATCGTGTACTAGTCATTAAATGTAAAATCAGTAATATGAATGTATTTTTGGTTATAGATGACGTGTTTTCGTGCCTGTCGGAGATTTAATGAATCCTTATAATCAGTTTTTCTGTTCTCACAAAGAGTGGTGGGGAATCATAGGGTTGCCGTTCGAATAAGCAATAGGATCAGAAATCAGTCTCTTTCTTGTTAAAAAAAGTAAATATTCCTTATATCTTATACGAATATTCGTCAAGATTAGAACGAATAGTTTGACAGTAATTGAGCGCCGAGTATAGAGAAGTCATTATATGTGAAAATTATATTTGAAATATTCTCAGCGATTGAAATTTAACTAATTCCAACGTTTCGTCCAGCTAACTTGTCTGGACTTCTTCAGGGTAATAATCAAAATCAAAATTATCAAAGAAATATATAGCTTTTAACAATCAGGATTATACTGTGTTAAACCAATCATATTTGGGTGTTGATTTTTTGTAAAATAGGATAAAATGAGTCAGTTGACTACTAATCATGTGATGAATTCAACTACATGGAAATACTTAACTGAGTAACAAATCGTATGTGTGTGAGTGTGTATGTATGTATGCATGTGTGAGAGATTGATATGAAGGAATAAATAAAGTTCAAGTTCAAGGATGAAAAATTGATAATGAAACATCGATGTACATGTCAAAACAAAAATTGTATTGTTTAAAAACTCATTCAGTTCTTTCAATAATAATAACGATGCATGTGATATTAAAAACAGGTTTAAACAAGAGATAGGTTCCAAATTTACTTGTCAAACGAAATTTGCCAGGTAGTTGCCATTTGAATACCATCTTTTCGGTTCAGGCTGTTCTTGTTCGCCCATATATGCAGAGCTTCTGCTGTCAATCTCTCTTTATGGGTGTTAAAACCTTTCTGAAGTATTTTGGTCCCTTCAAAATTAATCTTGTGTCCTGTTTCTAACGCATGTAACGCTATCGCTGACTTATTTTCAAGTTTCTTTAAATCTACCGAGGATTTTGGAACATTTTTCAAGCATTGTTTGTGTTCCTTCAATCTTACATTTAATTGCCTGGATGTTAGAAACAGGACACAAGATTAATTTTGGAGGGACCAAAATACTTCAGAAAGGTTTTAACACCCATAAAGAAAGATTGACAGCAGAAGCTCTGCATATATGGGCAAACAAGAACAGCCTGAACCGAAAAGATGGTATTCAAATGGCAACTACCTGGCAAATTTCGTTTGACAAGTAAATTTGGAACCTATCTCTTGTTTAAACCTGTTTTTAATATCACATGCATCGTTATTATTATTGAAAGAACTGAATGAGTTTTTAAACAATACAATTTTTGTTTTGACATGTACATCGATGTTTCATTATCAATTTTTCATCCTTGAACTTGAACTTTATTTATTCCTTCATATCAATCTCTCACACATGCATACATACATACACACTCACACACATACGATTTGTTACTCAGTTAAGTATTTCCATGTAGTTGAATTCATCACATGATTAGTAGTCAACTGACTCATTTTATCCCATTTTACAAAAAATCAACACCCAAATATGATTGGTTTAACACAGTATAATCCTGATTGTTAAAAGCTATATATTTCTTTGATAATTTTGATTTTGATTATTACCCTGAAGAAGTCCAGACAAGTTAGCTGGACGAAACGTTGGAATTAGTTAAATTTCAATCGCTGAGAATATTTCAAATATAATTTTCACATATAATGATTCCTTATATCTGTCTTCGATATTCAACTGGCACAGTCAATGAGTAAAAGTTAAAGCTATTAGGCTTGAATTAAGCACTTAGGTAGCTGTCGGTGGTCAGCAGGAAACCCTGAACTTAGGTTTCGCGCTAGGATGTACTAACTATCAAGGTGTACTTGTAATCTCAAGAGAATTGGTACTTCCTGTGTAAGTCGAACCAGACTCACAGTTTGAGGTTTCACCGCTGAGCTATTCGAGCTAATGTTCAGAACTATCATTGTATAACTGTAGCATATATGATTTACATATTCAAAATAATACTTCTACCAATCTTTGGGTTAATATTCAAAAGTCTACTTTATGAAACGAATATTTATCATTAGTTCTAATAAGCTAATCTATGACCGATAATTCTTGAACAGTCTAAATCATCACGTGTCCTTTAGCTCCTTACTTGCTGATTCTAAAAAATAATCCACCTCATGACTTATTCGTACAAAATTTCATCTTACTAATCACCTTTGATCATATTATATTAAGCCAATGCTACCTTATTCATGTGATAAAATTATACAAACACCGCATTTTTCTTCATGTAAGAAAATGTTCTGGAATGTATGATGACCTGTTTATTCGATGTCCTTTATAATTTGAAAGGACCGTGTGAATTCTCTAAAGAAAACGGTCGCTTAACTTTGGGAATTAGTGAAAACGAATGATCCATTGGTGAGACTATAATTTATGGACAACCTTTCAGCGAGGCTGAAGTGACCTTGAGCGTCGACACCTACTGATTAGGACTAAATGAGTTATAAAGCAGTTAGAATTCTCATTCACAGTTGATGGTTTGGGTTAAGAATTAGATTTAGGGTTTTCATTACGAATTGACACCAGCTATAATGCCAAAACTCTAATTAGCCAAATGTATTGATGAATTCCGCGCCAAAATTCGTGACTCGCTATCATATATCTGATTGGTTCGTCCATAAATTATAGTCTCGCCGATCCATTTAGCAAATAAATAAGATTTAAATTTTGTATAGAATAGACTTCCAATTAATCTGAAGTAAAATAGACGGTGGGGATTAATTTATCACTGAAAGATAGCTCAGAAAAGATTCCCCTCTCTACATGCGATTCTTAAGCGAGCTATTAATATGACACGACCATCATTAATAACACTGAATAACATTAAAACGACAGTTCACAACTGTCTTCATATAAGTGAAGAGCTTTTGACACCTTCCCTCTTGTCACTCAAATCTGTTTCCCGCTTATTGTTATTGTTAAGACAGAATTTGTGCAGTGATTACTTTCTTAGTAACGATGAGCTGTTGTAATCACAATGTCACATCTGAATATGGTTGGACAAGCATTTAGTGTATGTTCGGTGGTTAAACGTCATATATTCTTCAATAATTTTGGTTATTACCCTGAAGAACACCAGACAAGATTGCCATACGAAACGCTGGGATCATTTAAATTTCAATCGCTGAGATTATTTTAAATTAAATTTTTACAAACGTCTTTTATATAAACGGTGCCCAACTTCTGTAAAACCATTCGTTCAAATACTGACAAATACTGACTAGTATAAGCTATTTTGTAGCCACAGTATCACTGGTTTTGATTCAAGCGTGAACGTGTAAACAAACAGAGATAATTTGTTTTACAGAAAAAAAATGTGCGCGCCTATACATACCGAGCACATGTTTCGATAACACTTAAACCAATCACTGTTTTGCTTAATACTTATGATCACTCTCAAAATTTATTAGTGGCGGTAAAGAAAAAAACCCCAGCCAATCTACCTTTCATTTTATTCATATAAACTCTTCATATACAAACAATAAAAGAAAACAGAGGACATTAATCAATAGGAATAATTACCACTTTTATTTAAGTTTTTGTACAGATCAAGTTAGGATAAAAAGTTGCTTCCGTCCATATACAAACGTTACATCATATTACATAATATAATAATAATGACAGGATAATTGTTTATGTCCCTCAACCAGAAAAAAAGGTATAGTAGAGAATAGAAAATTAAGGCAAATTAGATGAGAGTCTGGCAATCATGAATCAGATGAGTCCACTGATGATCCTGTGGCTAAAGCACGTTGATTCCAATATATGAATAATTTAGATGTGTCACGTATCTGTCACACAAGAAAGAAAAAAACCAAGTGAGATTTGTGCGATCTACCTGATAGATTATATGAAAAGAGAACTAACGAAGCAATGACAAAAAACGAAAGCTATTTTAGGGGACACTGTTTAGTTTAACTCGAAATTCGTAAAGTACTAACATTTAATTTTGCCTCTTATTCTATGAATACTAAGCTTTTGTTTAATGCGCAAATTTCTATCATATTCCTTTCTATTCCAAAATCACTGTAATTTAAATGTGACCCTTGTATTCTATTTTTCTACTCTAATGTCCCAATTTGGATACGATCATTTTATTCTTATTCCCTGTGTACTATGATCCTATTAGTAATATGTTTATTCAGATAACTTTTCTGAGTTAGTTGGATCAGGACTATATTGGTTATACAGTTCCAGACAGATCTGCTCTCTCCTCACCAACCAGTTTGCTCATAGGTCAATAGTTGGTTAGTTTCTTCTATCCACCCCCAAGTCCATCCAGTCACAAATCGGACTCATACTCTACAAATCTCAAGCTTGTACTAAGTAAACTATCATGTCAGGGTCGTAAACTCCCTGTATATAAAACATCAACTAATGTGCAGGCAATTCAAGTTTGTAACAGACGAAAGGAAAACAATTGTTGAATATGTCAATTTTATTTTAACTAATGATGTGAGAATCGTATTGGGAAATAACTAACATACAGCATTACATCTTAAGCACATTGTCCATTTTAGTAAATTAGTTGTCCTTATTGTTTTACTTTTAGCTAAGGATCTAAATCTTGTCCTCCCTGCTTAGGTAAATGATGCTTCAAAGATAATGATCACTGACTTTCAGCGTCACCAATCTTTAGTAGTTATATAATGGAACAGACAGCATAGTTGGGTTACATATATGGCTAGCATAGGTCATAAGTTTAAACATTTCTGCATACTAGTATCATAAGAGGTTTATGGGAACTCATCAATCTGTAGTACATATCACGGACAGAATTTAGTTAAATAACCACTTAAAACCAGGGAGCATTATTTTGCACTGATTAGAATTTCCATATAAAAAAAGCAGTTGTTCACTGCTTCGTATTTTGAATGGTTTTTTAACTAAAATCAGCTGGCGATGTGGACTCTCCCAAATAGTTCAACACACAAGTGTGTTCATAAATATTGTAAACATATTGATTCAAGCCTATATTTTACCTACTGTCACAATAATTATACAGTGAAAAGATCATCATCAATGTAAACTTGTAATGTAAAGTTTATGACCGATTAATGTGAAGCTCACGAATTCCGTAAGTAAATGACACACAATAAATTTAACCCTAACATTCTGCAACAACACACAACATTCAAGGCATAATCAACATCAAACAAGATAACACAACAAATAACATAAATATGTAGAGGAGAACTTGAAGAAATGATATATAGAAGAATTAAATTTATTAGTAAAAATGCCTTGGATGATAGAACCGTTTTAAGTAGATTGACATGCTCATATACAACAGAGTTAATCAGCCACAATTACTTTTTTAAGTTATTTACGATTCTAGTCAGTCAGTTACAACGTAGGACTAGGCACATATATGCATCAGCCCAAGTTGCCATACCTCAGTAACACAAAAAGATGTACACCGGATTCATAAAAGTAGTTAATTCAGTGGTGGTAATATATAAAAGAAAGATTGCAATAAGGATATAGTACAGGAAGAAAGAATTAGTTCGTAGAAAGAAAGATATGAAACGATTTTAATCTCTTAGTTTAAGGGATGACAGAGAGTGTATACACCCACGACAATGTGATCGATTCTCAGCCATGTCACCAAGATTCTCTAACCATTGGTTACGATAGTCACGCGGACCACAACCAAGTAGTCTGCATCTATCAATATGGCTCAGACTAGAAGTTAGTGACTTCAAGCACTGATGCCACGTTTTGGTTTGGCCGCCCCTAACTTTCTTACAACCATCTCCATCATCGGTTAGCATTGCACATCGTGGTAATCGGTGTTCAGGCATACGTAACACGTGGCCCAACCATCTCAGTCGATGAAGATTCACAACCTCATCGACTGATTTACCATCATTCCCTAATACCCTGTGTCTAACCTCACTATTACTTACCCGGTGATCCCAAAAAGACGCCAGCAATATTTCTAAGGCATCTGTGGTCAAATACTAGTAGCTTACGAGTGTCTTCTACTCTTAATGGTCATGTTTCTCTGCCGTAAATTAAAACAGAACGGACTGCCGCGCAGTTGAATTGAAATTTATTTGCATTGCAATGAAAGAATTAGCCAGAGTAAAATATTGAATAATCGTAGAAACAATTTTTCTCACTTAAAACTTGTAGCATCTCATCGAACTGTTTACTTCATACTGCTGCTCCCACGATAGTTACGGTGTGTTTTTTTTCAATTATATTTTCCCATACAAGGTTAATGATAAACTATCTATGCAAATGCGTCGAGTAATAAGAACACACTTTTTTTAATCTCGTATCTCATTAAGTTCTTAAGTGAAGAGCTAGGTTTATAAACGACGTAGTATAAAGGTGTTAGATCTCAATCGCATGAAGTGTGCAATTTAACAAATATAAAGTACAAAATAAAAACATACTAATCATTCAAGATATATCGGATGATTAATAGATTATTTGAATCAGGAAAGAGATGACAGTGTGAAACAAAAATGTTACAGACAATTCAAATCACCAACACATATAACATACCAAATTATGATATGTATCTAATAAAGCTTGTGTATCAGCGATCAACTTCTCGGACATAACATATTGATCATTATGTACCATTCGTAGATCTTCAAACTTCTGTTTTAACGTACTGATTTCTAAAATAGATAAATTTCTACATGAAAAAAAATAACCTCCAAATGCTGGATGATTTAAACAATCTCGCAACTTTGAAATCTTTTCAAGATCACTACCGATTTTCTCTATCCTGTCTCGTTCTAAAATAATAAAATTTAGAAGTAAAACAAAATGTATGAGATGTCTGATACGTAAACTGATCATAAATAAAAATAATGCTTGAAAAAAGTAAAGTGGGGATAAACTCCACGTTGTCAAGTCATCCAAGTATTGTAGTCAGTAATATACGATTATTTTTTCGTCTGTTTAGTCATTTAATTGTAGATATTTAGGAATAATTTCTGTTAAAGAATTAATTGGAGGTGTGTGTGGATTACGATAGCGTAAACAGTAATTCTCACTTCATTTTGATTAATCGCCAGGCGTAAGATCAAAATGGCGGATGACAGTGGTGTTTATTCCTAGTCGAAAAGTATTTTTAACAGGATACATTTAAATATTACATGCCATACTGACCCAATTATTGATCTATTAGTTGAATGATCTTCAAATATTTTAAAAAGCACATATATGTATATATAAGTTCAAGTTGCCATATTCCATTAGGACAAGGAGATGAGATGGTTATAGCAAATCAAACTCTACTGAAAATGAATAACTATGACTAACGGTTTAAATATTTGGAACATCAGTTGTGAGAGCTTACATTAAATACAAGAATTGCTCATCATTTCTTGTTAAACAGGGAGTCTTTTTTTAAATTCTGGATTAAATCGGTAATTCACATTCACGTCATATTTTGTGATACAAGCTACAACTGTTTGGAATATTTTTTACAATTAGGTACCAACCAAACATGAAGCGCGAAATAAGCCATGAAATGTCACAAACTGATTTACAATAATGAAATCCTAGAAGTAAAAACGATATCACAAAGTAAGCAAACGAATAAAATCGATAGTTCCTTTGCACAAACCTATTGATACTTCATCAAACATACGATATTAAACAAGAAGGACAGATTTCAAAAATAGGAAATTAGGAAAGTTTACCTCTACAGCGTTCTGTTACTATATTTATAAATAAAAATCTACACAGGTTAGCTATAAGATGTGATAGAGACTGGTCTATAATCAATCAAGCATGTTAGAATTATGTTGACTTTATCAACTATCCATCAAATGGACTTTAGGCTCCAAAACTCTACCATTTATTTTGATTCTCAAGAACGAAATAGCCTCCTTAGAATTTACATTCTATATATTGTACCTTAAAACAGACAACACGATTTCGTACTAAATTACAAGTTATATTGACGAAGTGAATTGACATAATATTATGCTGGTCCAGAGTTATACAGAACATATGGCATAAACATTAGGTGACTTGTTGGGATGATCCAGAAAACTTCTCGCAAAAGACAAGAAAGGATCAGGAAACACTAAGAAGCATTTTATCCAATCAGCGTTCACTTGAAGTTCGGCCAGAAACATCAAGAAAGTGAAAAGTCATATGTAGAGTTTCTGATTGGCTGATTACTATACCGCTACTATGTTTAGTAGCATTCCAGAATTTTCGGGAAACCCAAGGACATCTAAAATACTATAAAAACCCTATATTTTCTGTATTAAAACGAGCCTTTAGAGTGAAGTGCTTCTTGTATATTTTGTACCTTTTCTCCCGCGTTCAGGTCGCTGTGTGGTTCTGGCTTGGGGGTTACGACAATAGCTTAGGGACCGAATATAGCATTCAAATTAGCAAGACTTATCATGACTGAATGTTGTCGGCAAGAAATACTGCTCAATCTAGGTTTCCTACTAGTTGACACTCGTTAGTAAAGTATACCTGCAATCTTGAGGGGAAAATGGTGCTTCTTGGTAAATTCACACCTGAATCGTTTGGTTTTATAATCTGAGATGCTACAACTGTTATTTGGCCCACAACTAACATCCTGTAGGAATGACATACTTGCAATTGATTAATCACTGAATAGTGACCGATGTTGCATATCTTTTAGTATACGCAAAAGATGACGAAAAGTAGTTTGAAAGTGAGAATAGATAAATTTGGAATAATAATGTGAGTTGTCAGAAACCAACATGAGGAAAGGATATAATATGATGAAATAAAAACCCAAGGAATTTTTATTCGTTAAGTGTTGGATAGTTACTATTTGATAGAATAAATGGCAATTTATGAAGGTGAGTAGTCAAGAAATTGGGAAAATTTGAAAACTAAATACGATTGAATTTCATAAGGTCAACGAACTGTAACGTGGTTAGTAGGTGACAAGTGTTGGTGGTTTTTATTCCGAAAAGTTGTCCGTTGATATACAGTGCTGAATGACCACAGAAATGAGTTTATTAAATGATCAAAACTATTTTAAGAGTAACATAGTTCACAAAATTACGAAGTTAAATATCATTGTCTCGAATTTCTATTGGTGAAAACTGATTCACCGAAACTCTCTGTTTAAACATAATGATATATTGAATACGACTTCCCCGTAATAAGTTTTAGAAGTTTTAAGCGGTTGAAAGGTTAGGATCATACAACTACATTTATTTCGGAATAGCATAACAAGCTACTAAATAGACGAAGCTTTACTTACTCGTTACACGTACGTGTTTCGCCCACCAAAAAAAAGTAAACTAGAATTTATTCTAAGTAGATGACAACAAAGTACTATCACCAAAACTACTTATAAACTAAATCGAATAAACACATTCTTTATTGTACTTACGAGCTAAAATAATTTCAATTTTAGACTGAGCCAAAAGTGTATCATCTTCCATGAAATTTGGATCGGTATATTTTTGAATCTCATTAACTAGACAAAAAGAATTATTGAATAGAAGGTAAACACTGTAAACAGAAATGAAAAAAATCTCTTACTTCTTGATAGTAATTTACTACTAACTGGACGTTTTTCAGCAACTGACATAGCAGAGTATAGTTCATACAGTTGATCCACTAAATTCTAAATATATATTTAATAAAGAAATTAATAAAATGAACTAATAATTAGGTCAACTTTTTCATGTTCAGTTGTAAGCCTTTTCACTGATTTAGTAGGTCCAAATACTAAATGTTCTAGTTCACATACTCGCTTCTCTAACGTTTCAATATTCATTGTTGATGACGTCTAAAGAAATAAACAGATAATTGTTCAACTACTTATATACAAGGTTAGTAGGGTATTACAAACTTAACAAAATATTGAGTAAAAGAAGTCATAGTGGAAATAAGAAATGATATATTTTGTATATTTACTTCGTGTGCCTGGTACATTATTAATTTCTTTATATACTACATTATACAATTATATGTTTTAAACAATTTCAAACTAATAACATCATGAAGGATTAGGTTGAGGTAATCGAAATCCTTTTAGTTGTATCTCCAGGTCGTAAAAACCAAATGTTTTATGTTCATAGTACTCTGGTACATTGTAGATAGTTCCCGTAGACTTGTTCTTTTCATTTTTAATAGATTCTACAGCTGAAAATAAATATTAATAAACTGTTAGAAGTAGAATCCTTACTTTTCTGAGTTTTACTATCGGGATTTTGTGGTGGTGACGAATTTGTCGTACTAACTAGTCGTAATGAACATGCAGTCACACTTCCTCTTGGTAGCAAATTCAATAGTCTGATAGACTGCATTAAACTGTAAAATAAAAATTATTTATATGTGTGCTATCTGGTATTATTAGTTCTTGATGAAACTACAGACATAATAAACAGAATTATGACCATATCAAAAGGACGAAATTATAATTTTTATGATTTTATTACAACCATTAGCTGTTAAAAGTGACAAACAGAATGCACTTCTCACTGTAATCGAAAATTAACTTTGCTCATTTAAGTAACCAGAATAAACAAGCAAACCATTAAATTAGATAAATGTATATCTCTTTCCCTAAAGAGTGATGTTTAACAATACTTTACATGAAGCATTCAGTTCTGTTTACAAAATAAAAAATAATTAACTCCAAGTGTCTCTGGACAATAACATGTTGGATTTGTGCAGGGCTTCTTCTAAGCATTGAAAATACACAAAGTCGAATGGGGAAATAAACTGATTATCGTGCGAAACGAAAGACATAGCTCCGTGCA